ATCTTTTGCTATCTTCGTATTGACGGCTTGAAGCAGAAAAATCACAGTCAAATTGTTGACATTCGTTAAAATCTCTGATACACCAATAATCTTGTATTTCTTTGGTAATATTTTGCCACAAGCCAATGTCGTTCTGGTATTCTACAACTTGATAGGTTACGTTTTGTTGTGGTGATTGGACGTCGTTCTTAGCCTCACTACCTGCTAAAGTAGCTGTTTCTTGATACTGGTTAGCCTGTTCAGAACACTCGCTAAAAATATCTCCTGAGTCCGCCTCGGAAAAGGTTGATTTTCGAGTGGTTAACGAACAAATCCAAGATGGAAAAGGTTTTGCGTCTTCTTTAATACCTCATCACGCTTATTTTGTTGGTCTAGTTGCTTGTTACGTTATTCTGCACCGCTCAAATGCTTTTTTTCACGGACTGATCGGACATTTTGTTCCTTGAAAGAAAGGTGTAAATGAAAACTATGACAGAGAAATAGTTAAATTTTCAGAAAAATAAAGAACTTCGTACCTATTATTGGTCAAATTATAATGTCACAAATAATTATTAAACTTACCTTATTTAATTCTGTTTTATAATCAATATTTATTCTCTCGTTAAGTTTTCAAGACAGTGTTCATAGAAAGAACTAATACTCTACTCCTATTCAGAGTAAACACAAATCATAAAGTGTTTTTCAATTCAGTGTCGTAAAACGCTCCTAATAGCATCCTACGAATCGGGGATTTCCTCAACGTAAAACGACATAAACAGTCCGCCTACTCGCTGCTTTCCGGATTTTTTGAATACTTTTGGTGTATGTGAAAATTGTAAGTCTTCAAACACGGAGCACACTAAAACTTTTTTAAATTTACCTTACAATCGCAAAAGTCACGTATTGTAATTAACGTATTTCGAAAGTTTCGGATTTATTACGCTACAAATTATTATCACGCTACGGAAGCTTATAGAACGTACCCAACGAATCGGAGATTCCCCGAACGTGAATGAAGTCCAGTTGCGTTCCAAAGTATCATATTAGTTCTAATATTAGATACTGGATGGTTCTGTAGGTATAAAGTGTTACATGCGTTGAAAAAAAAAAAAGAATAGTATTGTTGATTATCATTTTCGATCCATAAAACTTTTTTTTGCAGACTGCAGTGGGCCCCTAGGCAGTTGCCTACTCTGCCTTAAGGTTAATCCGGCTCTCTCTGCAAAGCTAACTTTTTTGAGGTATCTTTCATAAATGTCAGTGATATATAATTCAATATCCAGCGTGGTATTAGCCGGAAAAGTAGGTGTTTTCCGGCATGCATTTTCCAGGACCTACCGTGTAGGTAGTTGGAAGAGATGAATATTTCGAGATTTATTTCGAAATATTTATTAACTTACACATATATTCTTGTACAGGCGGACTATTTAGTATTACCTCTGAAGCTGCAGTTTTGCTAACACTTGGCGCCCAAATTATTTCATCAAAATTGTAATAAGTGTGTTAAAATCTTTAGTAACCCACGGCCCTACCAGAGCAGCCACATTACCTGCCATACTTAATCCCCCCCCTTCAAATACAGACCAAAACCTGAAAATTAACATACATAAAAGTTTGAGACTAGTGAGAGCATAGTACAGTTTATTCAGTTTTTACAAGTTGTCTATTTGGTTGTTGAAGGTTAATTTGTAATCCAGCTCCATACCAAGGAATTTCATGCTTTTTGAAGCTAAGATATCAGTGTGGCCTAAGTTGAACTTCATGTTGTTGAAGTGTTTTTGAGGACTTCTGAATTGGATAAGGACCATTTTTTCCATATTATTAATGAGGTGATTTATCTCACACCATTGAGTGAAGTTCTTCATTACTAGTTTTATATCATTCATCAAGTCAAATGTATCATTAACAGTGATATAATTGTTGAATCACCTGCATACTTGGTTAACCCTGTAAATGGTTTTTAATTGTTCGGTAATGAAGGCTATTATTATTATTGTCAGATGTTACAAATTCTACTTATCGAATTAACAAGGTATTCAAAAAACCTCAAGGTTTTGAATAATTAGATCAAATATTGAAAAACAATCAAGTCATTAAAGTAGTTATGAACACTAAAATAATTAGCTAAATTCTGTAATATTGTTATCAATATTTTTATATGTCATATATATCTTATTCAAGTGGATTTATCAAATTTTCTAATGTTCCTTTTCATATTGTTATCTTCTTTTAATCTAGTATAAACGTCATATGTTCCTTGGAAAAACAATTTTTTTTGTAATTAGAGAACTCACCTTGTCGATTACTGATGTTGAGCTGCTGTAATTGAGATTGGACAGTATTTACTACGGAATGATTGACCACTTGAGTTATTTCCGGTGCAGATTGGATACTTTGTGTCCTAGCTCGCATCTCCCCTTCACTTTGCCAAGGCAACGGTATATTCTCATAAATAGGCTCCGAAGAATTGTTGATGTGCCCGTCATGAGCTACCACAGCGTTTTGATTTCTTGTGACCACAAAACCTGTTGAAACAATAACGTGGCTTGTTAAAAACATTACAATTAATTGATGGATGTAGCCGTTACTAATTGGTAGGAAATCATAATGAAGAAAAGAGAAATTAAACTCTCTATATTTATTGTTTATCTATTAACAAATGATCATGTGCCAGATTTACCAAAAATATCTATCACTCAAATATCTGTATTTTCCTTGCAAATGATAGGTTGAAACTGGTAGCATCATAAAGGTGTGTGATTACATTTTAAAAACTTCGATCAACAAATTGATGATATTTGAAAAGATGACAGCTATCTATGAATATATTCTGATACTTCAGCCAAAGGTCCCATGACAGATTATAATTAGATTTCCAATATCTTTGTGAATAAATAATATACAGCTAAAATAAGAATTTTTCGAGGTTTCTTGTATATCTTTAAAACCAAAAGCGATAGAGTCGATTTTTTTGTATCGATTTGATTTATGAGATTCCCAAACATAGATTTGAACTTGAATATCCTTGTATATCATTTGAAAATTGTTTCAAACTAATAATTACTGCTTATTAGGACCCAATACCTATCTCACTGAAGTCCGAATCCTTCACAATACTGGATAACTATAACATACCAATGTCTTTGAGTGCGAAATGAAATAATTTTCCATGAAATAATGGTAGCATTGTACCAAGAAAATTGAGTGTATATTTATTGAGGAAAGTTTTCTTTAAATATTTTAAAATAAACCACTACTTTTCACAAATTAATACAACTACTTCTGCGTCACTGAAACAGTTTCACATAAACTTCAGCTGTCAATTGTTCATTAATCATGATCTGTGTCATGCTTTTTTATCACCTGAAAACTTCATTTGTTATATTAATCAAATGGTCCTTTCGTGGAATACATGACACTATTCAGTAAAATTCAATGGAAGCCAATTTAGTTGTTCTTATGAGGTAGGTAAGAAACTTTTATGTAATACTAAAACGTCCATTTCAGGTTAGAATACAGCAAATTTGTTCCATTATTCTAAAACTGCGACTCGAACAGATTCACTCCAACAGGACAATGAAGTTTGTTTCGAAATAAACTGTACTGAGAAAAATCAAACTTCAGCTCTCCTTTTAAGCATAAATATTTATAACTCTTAGATGATTTATAGTAAAACTCACCTGTGCTTGGTAACTGATTTTCTTGAAGAATTTGTTTCATATTGGACGGCATACAATAAATGATATTTCCATGTTCATCATAGACCTTCTTGATGTGTTTCGTTACATTAGGGTTTTCCATAATTACAGCCTGTGGCCTACCCAACATGTTATTATTGAAAATAGAAGCTAGATTTCCATATGTTCCATTTTGTGTAGGTAAATAACTCTGTGACCTGTAAATATTAAATTCTTTTTATTCAGTTTAGTTCTACATCATGAAAGAAACTATCTGAATATAAGAAAAATGAATAGGTGATACGACTTAAGAGAGTGTGTAAGTTTGTCTATAAATGTTCTTCATTTCAGATCACAGATAGATATTTATTTGCATGGTTACAATATTCATCACTCATCACATTTTGCTGTTTATAACGTGTAACACAACAAACAAAATTATAAATCACATTCATACTACACCCAAGAGTACTGAAATTCAAACATGAAAATTAATATCTAGGTAATTCAATATCTTCAGATAGTAATTGGTATGTATCTGAAATTACCATCTGAGAATTGATCAACAAATTTACCTAAAGTTTTTATTGATATTTCTCAAATTTTTCTTCCTATTGCCATTAGAATTATACAGGGTGTTACATTTGAATTAAGGAAGTTGGTGCCAACTTCCAGTATAACGGAAAGTCTTGAAAAAACGCCATTATTTTCATTTGATAAAACACTTTAAAAAACTTGTATGTGTCAATTTTCAGGATATAAATTCTATAATTTCCCATAATATGGCTAGCCGTAATAACGCTGTACCCTGTATACATGTTGAAGTGTTATCGCGGGTGTAAATCCGTTTGTCTTTGACATTATCACGTTTTGGCAAGATTGCACTTAACAAATTTACGTGCTGAACTTCAAAGAAAGTATCTGATCAGTAAGGCCTTTGATAATTATGTCGAGTATCTTAACATGGACTGACATTCTAACAGTATTTGTAGTAAAAGCAAAATATTTTGACATGTAAACTTTATAAATATATTTCATAAGCCAAAACTGTTCTTTCCCAAAAATTAATCTCTCCTAAAAATATACCCCTTTCCATATTTCATAAGTTGTAACTTGAATTTCAAATATGTTCATTCTGACCTGTGTACAACTTATTGCTCAACAGCACCACTAAACTTTTCTGTTATTGAATAACGGTTGCCTGATGACTTACAGATTTCTCAATTTTTTTTTACTCTTTCTGGATAGGTGTGAATTTTTGTTTTCAACACATCATTGTTTTCATTTAAAACTTGTTTGTTTCCCCCATTTCACTCATTAGTTTAATTCAATGTAGCTATTTCATCATCCCACTCTTTATGTTCTTCTTTCAAAGTAGTAATTTCATCATTCAGGTTGGTTCTGCAAAAATCTTTGTGTTCAGCACATGCTATGTGGAATACTTTATCACATTTATCGTATTTCACAACTTTGTTTACTGCAATTCTGTTATAATAACTGAAGAGCCGTTTATTGACAACATCGTGGCCCTCCATCTTGAAATAGTAACATTGAATCAATTTTGAAGTGTAATTGAAGTAAGGAATGTTGAGTCGTATTATGAATTGTTGTTGTTGAATTTGAATAAATGAATCAGTTTATATTAATGAAGCCACATAAAGAGAACAACATTCTACTCTTTTATTAAAGAATAAAGATTGGGTATACTCAAAGCTGAAACGATTATTTGATTCGTGGCATCACAAAAAACTCGCTATATCAGTTTTTGAAAAAGATTTGGCAATCTGTAAAATTCTCTGAGGAAGTTAGCATAGATTCAGAATCTAGCATTGCCTAGGATATTGACCACAAAGTTGATATAGTAAGTTTTGCAATGGCACGCCTCACTTCAAAATTGTTCGGACTGCCTCCTCATTATCCACCCAGACTGAATAAGTCTCTGCATAGTACCTCACCTGTGTATCGGTTGTACTTGTTGTCCAGAATATAGCTGCCGCAAATAAAAGTTTCCTCCTGATACCAAGTCTGGACTGGACCCACTGACTACGTTGCTAATGAATCCAGAATGAGGACTGATTTGTTGTGATATCCCTGCCAAGTCGGGCGTGGAATTTGACCCAATTCTATTGGTCGGATATGGTGGCGGTGACTTGTAAAATCTTAGCATGCTGACATTGTCAACCACCTGAGATTGTCCGAAAGAGGTGTTCAATACCAAATTTTTCTGTTCGATGTTATTGTGTGTTACATCAGGATAATGTAAATGAGCTGAATACGAGTTAGTCTGATGGATTTCTGGTTGTGAACTATATAAGATTTGGTGAGTATTCCGGAGAGGTTCGCGTGATTGTATGGCACCTACAATAGAATGTAGATCAAAGTAATTTCATATTCATGATGGTTATTATGTATCAATTTTTCTTTATTAGGCTATGCTTGAAGACTGGCAATAAACAAATATCGAGACTGGCTTGAACGTTTAAAGTTCATTTCTTTAGATTTGTCGAAAGTTTCCCACATCATTTTTGTATAAATATGGGGAAGTAGAAAGCCAAAAAGTTTTTTCCCAAAAACTATTCTCTCCTGAAAAATATATCTCGTTTCCATTTAAATACCTTGAATTTCGAAAATTTATTAAAATTGAAATATTGGGAAATGTTACTTTGGTAATTTAAAGCAGGGATGTTGTGAATCCATATTTTTTCGCGTCCGTGAATGTGGATATTTAAATGCTTACATTCGCGAATGCGAATCTTAAGAAATTTTATAAGAACTAGCTTCTGACTGCGAACAACAACACTGTCAATCACACAAAAAGCTGTTTTTTCTGGATAAGGTTTTAATTGACACAAAAGGAATCAGATTCAGGCAAACTAATGAATGACCATGGGTGGCAAAATAAAATAATTAGGTAGCAATTTTTTGATATTTTCATTAAATATCAATGGTTAATGAAAATACCTTGTAGTTTTTAAACTGTTTTTAAAAAACGTTTTTTGATTGAAGTTTTTATTAATTCTTTATTATATTTTTTAAACAAAATCATCTAAACAAACACATCTCCTAGCAACACCTAGCATACTACATTTGAAGGGCACTACATTACACCCCCCCTTAAAAAAAAAATTAAACGCGGAAATGAAATCTTCTTCCAAAGCGGGTTACATAATTTGATTTTTCTGGATTTTCATTTTGATTTTCTGATTTCTTCTTGAGAATTCCATTTGGTGTATTTGGAAATTTTGCATTTTCAGGTAAATTTTCATTTGATGATTCTATAAAAGCTGGCTTCAACCTATCAATCGAAATATTCTTTCTTTTTCCATTAACTGAAAGTGTAAAATATTTTTCGGTTCTTTCTAAAACCTTGTAGGGACCAGAATAAGGAGTTTGCAATGGTTTCTTAACACAATCTGTTCTTAGAAAAACATGAGAGGTGTTTCGCAATTCCTTATGTACAAACATTTTTTTCTCTCCATGATGACTGGACTGATTGTTGATTTTTATGTTTCTCATGGTTTCTTGTAAAGTTTTCAAAAATTCTATATGCGATAATTTCTTTTCTTTTCCATTGGTTAACACAAAATCTCCTGGAACACGTAACGTAGAACCATACAATATTTCAGCACTACTTAAACCATTTAAATCTTCTTTTGGAGAAACTCTAATACCATATAGAACAGTGGGGATATATTCGGACCATTTTTCAATAGGGTGGCATTTTAGTGCAGATTTCATTGATCTGTGAAACCTTTCTATCATTCCATTTGAACTTGGATGGTAAGGTGTAGTATGTATATGTTGAAAACCCATGATCTTTGAAAACTCCTTGAAAAGTGCACTTTCAAATTGTCTTCCTTGATCTGTTGTTACTCTGAAAGGAATACCAAAACGAGTGATCCAGCCGTCATAAAATGCTTTGGCAACTGTTTCTGCTGATATGTCTCGAATTGGAAAAGCTTCAACCCATCTTGAATATCTATCAATACAGGTGAGGTAGTAAGAGAATCCATTAGATGAGGGTAGTGGTCCAACTAAATCCATATTTACATGTTCAAATCTGGTATCAGGTATTACAAAATAGCCGGTTGGCCTCACAATATGTTTGGTTACTTTAGATTTCTGACATGATATGCAACACTGAACCCATTTTTTAATTTGTTTGTTCATATTTTGCCAAACAGATTCATTCTTCATCAGTCTCAGCGAGGCTTAGATACCTGGACTCCATTTGAAGGAAATTGTAGGGCACTACAACCTAATGAAAAGTAATTTTGCTGCTATTTTGGGGTCTATCTTGTTATGCAGAAGTTCCCAAATTAAACCTGCGCTATTGAATAATTGTTCGCTACGATCAATAGCTGGTGGTGCCCATAAAAATCTACGTGCTATCGGTGATTATAAATTGAATTATTCTCCTTAAACGCTCCACCATTCAGGAGGGTTTTGTCAATTTTTACCCTTTTTTTACTACGGTGAGCACAGCTCCTGGGCTACCATTTTCCTGTGTTTCTCGACTTTCATCTTTGCTTGACGAATTCTACGTCATAGCAAGATTGTTCTTTAACCTTGACTTTCTGACCAAGCGAGATGTCCCTGGTCCTAGTTGTTTCGTATATTTTTTGAAGGAATAATTCTTTTAGATCCTTTGGAAATGAAAGTACCGCCATTTTTAGTATACCTCATTCCTATCATCAAAATTTCTTCTTTGATCTTTTCCTCAGTCACTGGTGTGAAAAGTTTGTGCTTATAGCGAGGGTCTAAGTAGGTAGCGATGACATGAATTGTTCTCTACTAGGTTAGAAAATTTTCTTAACAGTTCATTTTTCTGAGTCGTGTCTGCCTGGCAAATTTGATCATCTTGTGATCTTGAATAATCATCAATTTTTTTTCAAGCATAATAATCAATGGAATTACAGATTGCTGCTATTTTCTTGTGTGGCTTGTGTGGCAATAAGTTTCAATATCTTAATGGAATTTTCAATGATTTCCTACTGTTCCGGCAAAATAGGATTAATTTAACCGTCATTGAGAAAACGCTCGAACATGTAAAATATACTATTCTATCTCGTTATACAATCTTGGAAGACTTTAATGTGAGGTTGGTTTAGTTCGACTATTTTAATGCTTTCTTGCCAATCCAAACAACTGAGAATAGCAAGTTGCATCTTATGAACTGTACAATCTATGTTATTCAATGCTGCTAATCACACAGCTCTTTTCATATTAGATCCTTCGTCTCGAATTAAGCAATGTGCTTGTTATTTTTTAATATTTCTTTCAGAAAGCATCGTGTTAAATTTGGCAAAAAATCATGTCACCAGTGTGACTGCCGTCTAAAGTATTGTATTTCAGTACAATTCTGTAATATTTAGGCCTCAACATAGTGTGTGTGTGTGTGGTTTAAAATTTTTTGGCTTTGGGAGAACCAATTAGCCAGACTGTTTTAATAAAAAACTATTTGAAAGTAACATTGAGTAGTAGCTCAAATATAGATTTTTTTTCCTCGTTTTTTGCTTTTTGAATTTTCATTTCTGTTTGTTTTTGTATTTTAAATAAAACCTAAACTTTTATGACAATAAAGCATTTATGATTCTGATATTTCAGCAACTTTGTCGTATAGATACGTGTACACAAAGTTAAACGGCAATTTTTGAAGTGCAATAATTTTTGCAATAAGCTTTTAAATTTGTTTTGAATTGTACTGGTTAGTGTCTCACTTCTTTTCCTCATTAAATACTTCCTCTAATGAGATTGCTTCTTAGCTTCTTGTAGAGGCGTGACAATTTTTACGAAAAAAATATATACATAAATTGAAATTCTTGAAATAATATACAAAAACAATTTATAAATATCTTTCATTCTGACGTTTCGACCAGGCTGCATCGGCCATGACCACATGACTCTGATTTGTGACCACGCCCGGTGCAACCTAGTCAGTATGTCAAGCCAAATTCTTTTTTTCTAATATTGAAATGAAGCCCCCTTAGTTTGTTACATACCTGTATTAGTTTTTATCTTCAGTATTTGCTGCTTTTTACTCGAGCTTTGATATGAAATGCTTTATTCAAATAGGGTACACCCTAAAAATATTTTGAAAAAACTATACTCTTTGTGCATAGATTCTAAATGATTTTTCAAGGACTTGGTGGAACGGCCCTTGCGAGAGTAAGTTTTATGGCATAATTTTTACAATCAGCCTTATCCTTATGTTCGTTTGCCTTGAAATAATTCCAAACGTCACTTCGCGTTGTGAATTCACTTTCAAATAATCATTCGACACCAGATGCTCAATGTTTACTCACAATTTCACGGCAACACTCCAAAACTTACATTTTCATATGATTAGTCCAACTAACTAAACACGCGTCGGAACTTGTCACCAAACAAAATCTCCCTTATTAGAGGTCAAAGCGCACTTGCATACGGCTCGCGCCAATGGCTGACCTCGTCCGCGACCTGTGTCACATCTGTATGAATATCCGCATTAATTATTGTGGATGTATATATTCGCAACATCCCTGAATCATACACCTGAATAGTATAAGATCAAAAATAGAAAAAACCTTTTAAATAGTTCATGCAAAAATGAGAATATCAGTCTACAAATATAATAAATAACTGAAATATAATGTACCTGATGAATTCCTATACTTCTGTTGAATGGCAGTTTCATAATCGGGAGCTGGTCGATATGAAGGTAAGAGACTCCGCAATGTCTCTAAGTCAGCCTGTTTATCAAGATCTAAACAAGATGTAGACTGTGCCCTATTACTCGAACTGGGCATTGATGATATCGGTCTGTCCCATTGTATGGAAGGGTTTGTCACATCCTCAGAGCTATCCATCTGAGTCAGCTGATCAAAAAGAAAAAAGATTCATTGCCATGTATAGTATAGTATACACACAGACCGCGCTACTAGTATTGAATCCATTTTAGTTATCCATTTTTAGTTAACCTTAACTTTTGAAAGACATGTGTACAAATTTCACAGCTGTCGGACTATTAGTTTGTGGGATAGAACATTTTGAGTGAAGCAACTTTTGTTAGTTTGATGAAAACGAATTTCGTGTGTTATTAAAACATTGTTTTTTACTGAAAAAACTGTTTCTTTGCACCAGAAAAATCAAGCGATGAGAAGTGGTTTGCTAAGTTCAAACGACATGAAGTGAGAACTGAGAACGATACTCGCAGTGGACGCTCCAAAGAGGCTGGTATAAACGAAAACATTGAAAAAATCCAGAAACTAATTTTTGATGACGGCAAAGTGAAGTTAATTGAAATAGCTGAGGCTCTAAAGATATCAAAGGAACGTGTTGGACATATCGAGCATGAATATTTGGCTATGCGAAAGCTCTGTTCAAAGTGGGTGCCGCGCGTGCTCATAATCGACCAAAAACAACCACGAATTGATGATTCTGAGCACTGTCTGAATCTGTTCCACCTTGAAAACCCCGAATTTATGCAATAATATGAGACAATGGATGAAACATGTTCCCATCATTCCACACCCGAATCAAAATGATCGTCATCTGAGTGAACTGCACGTGGTGAAGTAACTCCAAAGCATGCAAAGAATCAACAGTCGGCTGGCAAGGTTATGGTATTGGTATTTTGAGATGCGCATGGTATAATATTCATTGACTATCTTGAAAAACCATCGACAGTGACTATAACATAGCGTTATTGGAGCGGAACAATGGCCTCATTCGAAGAAAAAGAAAGCGCTGTTTCATCAAGACAATGCACTTTTTCCTGTTCCCAGACCTCAAGAGAATGCTCGCTGGAAAGAAATTTAGCACCAAAGAAAAGGTAATCGTCGAAACTGCGGACTATTTTGAGGCTAAAGACAAATCGTACTAGAAAAATGGTATTTAAGAATTGTTTGACCGCTATAATAAATAAACCATTACAAATTGTATTAACAATTTTACTGTCAACGTTTCAGCAATTAGTCTTGCCTCCTTCAGGGTTGTAATAAATATAAAACGGATACCAATACGTTACAAGGGTTAAAATATTGAATATTCTGCAAAAAACTACATACTTACAATGAAGAGGGCAGTAGTGTCAAATACAAAGTATTTAAACCAAAACTTGTTGAGGAATTTCTCGAGAACATGTATAATGTATACTGCTCAAAGACATTTTATCTATTTCTGAATGTAATGATATTCTAATGTACTGATATATTTTATTAAATTACCTCGTTTTGCTGAAATACTGGCGGTTGTGAAGAACTTTTGTCAGTCTGGTCAGTATTCATCTCCCACTGTCGGTAAAACATGTGTTGTAGAACACAGAAACGCCAAGCATTTTTTGCAGTTTCCACATCCGAAAATAGAAATCCTGCTTTTTCTGTGCCCACCAAGGATTCTATGGTGAATTCTCTTTTATGATTGATCACATTACTAATGTCTGACCAACTGAAAATTAAAAAAATAAGCAATAATGATTCTTATTACCCAATGTGGAGAGAAAGAAATATACAGCAATTTATCACAGTGCTGACGAGCTTGGTGCAACTATTTTGATTCTTGAAGTAACAAATCCGAAGTTTGAAGCATTATTTTCACTAGCAATCAGTTTTACAACTAAAAGTGACTTTTGTAATGTGATCCCCAAATTGGGAAACCGAATTGAAATTGTAAATTGATCCATTACTAATTATCTGATATCCATTTCAAACCTTTTTTTTCTCGGACCAAAAAACGCATAAGTATCTACCATTCACAAAAAACTGAATTTGAGAAAAAAGGATAATCTACTGATAGTCAAGGGACTCATCTACACATTCTCAGCAATTATTCCACCATGAAAAATAAAAATAGGCAAGTTTTCCAAGGTTGGAAAGAGGGTTTCAGTAATTAGTACTGCATAGGCTGTTCAAATGTTCTTCATGGAAGCTTGTCTGGAAAGAAGAGATGTGATACTAATAGAATAATTCAATATTTGTTTTAGTATATGACACAAAAAGAGCCAATGATGATGGTAAGAATATAAATGATTTGAGTTTGCCAAAGAAGAATTGAAGGTGAGAAATGATCTCATGGAAAAACTGAGTACTGCATAGGCTGTTCAAATGTTCTTCATGGAAGCTTGTCTAGAAAGAATAGATGTGATACTAATAGAATAATTCAAAATTTGTTTTAGTATACGACACAAAAAGAGCCAATGATGATGAGAAGAATGTAAATGATTTTAGTTTGACAAAGAATAATTGAAGGTGAGAAATGATCTCATAGAAAAACTGTAAATTGCAAAAAAAGTAAATGGAAGAACACTTGAAAGTTGAACTCAGCATAATGTGAAAGACTTTTTTATTCCAAGCTACACAGAAAAACCATTGATTTTGAAGATGAACCGAACAGAAATACAAATATAGGCGGAAGGGCCACGTTGATATGATTCTAGATTGAACAAAGAAATTACAGAGCTGAATATATAAAACAATTGTCTGAAAAAAAGAGTAGATAAAAATCAATTCGGTGAAGAAATTGAAAAATTCAAAGAAACAATTGAAAATATGATCTCATCTATTACGACAATTGAAGAGGAAAATAAGATATACAGTGTGACCCATTTTTAATGGAAACACCCCTTCTAAAATTTGAAGTTGTAAACCGATTTTAATAATTTTTTTTTTGAAATGTCAAGTACTAAAAGGTCTACCTTGGGACAAAATTTGAAAGGTTTATTAAAGTTTCAGGGCATACTACGATATTTTTTCTTAGTCGAAAATCGGG